CATTTATTAGAATTCTTTTTACATCAACGATATATACAAGGGGAAGTTCGAGCACGGGACGTGGATTTACAGAGATCATACAACTCATACAGTAAGGGTGCTCCTTGAAAGAACTTTGTAAGTACCTAGAGATATTTGGGATCGTTCAATTCTTTGATCTCCCTCGTCACGAAAGACATTCCATCTGATGGAAGGGGGCTAGGGATGAAAGGGGTGATGAAAATCAGAGGCCAACGAGTTCCAAGGTACTGGCGAAGATTGTCGAGCAGACCAAGTTGATACGCGTGGATTTCCTACAATAAAAAGCATCAACGTAACAACTTATATATAAATAAAAAAGTAACTCTGAACTTACCAGCAAATATTCCATCCTCGTTTGCCCATTCCAAAGGCAAAACACTTGTGCAGAAAGAAGGTAAGCCACGAATAGAAGAACCGTAAATGTGGAAGCACAGAAAATTATGCAGAAAAACTGATGCACTGAGATTAGTCTGGAAACGATTACATTAACGGAGAACTGACCAAAGGAGTAAGTAACCAAATTTAGCTTTACCTGGCCATGAGAGCTATATGGGGCAAAAATAACTGCCATGAACGACTCAATGAGAAACCTCCGTCCATTCGCGACCATGCGAAATCCCAAGTATAACTAAAACAAAGATGTATTGTATTTAAAATTTTGCTCTGCCAAATCTAATATACTTGCCTGAACAATGGAATCATCAACACGAAAAGGTTAGCAACAGCTGCGATAAAGTATCTGGAAAAAACTTGACGATGATTCGCATTCACAGCTTTTCAGAAACTTTTACTTAGCAGAAACGTTGATATAAGCATGAAAACTTGAAACAGAAATGCAAAGTTAAATGGTTTGTGATACTCACCTTTGATTAAAGTGCCCTACGCAAACTCCACCAAAGGAACAGTGGTGGTCTCGGCGAAAACAACAAATATCGCAAACTAGAACATTCTTAGTTATCAAAGGTGGTACATACAACTGAAAACAATGGAAAAAAAGACTGACCGGGGCAGTGGTATGCTCTCGGAGGTGCATTGAGATGGCACGAGTGACAGTATCTGAAAAGTTATACAGTCTATATTTGAATCAGCAAAAGTAAAACAGTTTGAATAGAATTCGAAAACAAAAGAATCATTAGGCAGTTTTCACTGACAATATAGTCTCCTAGATTCAACAACATGCTGGCATTCACGTTCAAAACTTTCGCATGCATTTTATAAACTGCAAGGATGTCAAGAATACGTAAATGATTTTTAAGTCTTCTTTGATGAGATTCATATGGAAAGACAAGCCCGAATACTGATGAAGCATTGTAAGCACTTATGCGTACGTTGAGAAAGTGCAACACCAGAAATAGCAGAAAATGGCAGTGCAAAAAAGGACCCTTTCCATAGTTCGAAGCACGCGCAACATTCGAACGGATGAATATTTTTACTTACGACTTCACAAAACTGCTGCCATGCAGCAGACAAAGCCATTGTGCAAAAATAATCATGGTTTACATCATGTGATTTTATGCCTAAAAGGTTTGTCATCTACATTTCTACAAAGGAATAAGAGAAATAAGTGAAAAGCCCAGAGTATAAGGTTCGGAGATAAATGGAAAGTCAGTCACCATCTCAACTGTACAGCTAACGAGAGCAAACTTCTCACATTTGTGCAGTAATGATGAAAAAATCTGACGGAAGTGTACCCAAGCACGCACACGCCTTCTTCAGTTGCAAATGACTTCTTTACACTGCATCAGACAAAAATATTCACTCTAGCAGATAAAACATTACTTGAATACATGTTTTTTAAAAACAGCCTTTTTCTCCATGTCAGTTTTGAAACGCTTCGAAACGCCAACTTCCTGCACAAGAAAAAATACTGCATCACTTCAAACCGTTGTTTTTCTCAAGATCACTTCAAGCCGTTTTTTTTTCGCATTTTCAATTACAGCTAAGTACGGCGAAAAGCAGAAAGTTGTCGAAAAAACAGCTAA